GTAGGTTTGTATTTCTGCTTTTTGCACTGTGTAGGGAAAAGACAGAAAACTCTAGACTGTGCCTCAGAGTTATTCTTCAGTCATAGGATAAACTATTGGATGAGAGGATGGTCCAAGTAAGGGAATCTGGTAGCTCATGAAACTAACTACATGTGCTGAAACATGTCACAAGATTACAGTTTGGGAAGTCTCCCCCCCCCCCTCATTCTTTCAACTTTTCCCTCTTGTCTCAGCAATATATATCCAACTCTGCATGGTGCCTAGGCCATTGCAATGAATGGATGAATGCACAGGGTGTGGGTGGGTATGTGGGTGTGTTGGGACGTGATTCAGAGCACTGTTGATAGTTTGAAAAGACCCAAATCGATGGCTTCCCACCTGGTCATTAGTCATTAGGCCAGGCAGAAAGAATGAAAAGATCTAAACAGATCTATTCGGAGGGCGGTATTAAACAACGTGCAGTCAGTTGTCAAACCACAACCCCAGTCCACAAATCTCACAGGCAACATTTCCCCTTGAATTGTAGCCATTTAAGCTCCAAAGCAGGGGGGTGTCAGAGATGCACATCTATTCCATTTATAACCAGTAGGTGGCACCTATTTCAGGAATTGCAAAATAGGTTGTTCATAACTTGGAGCTCTGGTCAGCCTAGCCCCAGATGAAATGTCAAGTGCTTGCTGGGTGGGTAGTGGAGCTTGCCAAGGGCCAGTGCTGCCAGGGTAGGTTTGAGGAGCCAGTGCCCCAGGAGAGGCCTGGGTTCATGACTGCAACAATGAGCTCAGCCTACCTAAAATAGCAACTCCCTCTCACTACCTACTCATCCTCTATCATTTTGCCCTTTACTTTCTTTAAACATTTATCACACATGACTTTACAATTTATGTTTATTTGTTTATTTTCTGTCTCCCACAATAAGAATCTAAACTCCACAAGAGCAAAGACTTTATTTTGCTCCCTACGGTACAACCTGCTCTTACAGTACCTAGCGCTTAGTAAGCCCTCAAGAAATATATTGGATAAATGAATAAGTGAGCGAACACGTGACAACAAACTATTAGTAACCAAGGTCTGTGGTTGCATTCCCCTAATGAGATACTCTGAAAACCAAATAATGCTAAGTTATTGTCATTGTTTGTAGTCAGTGAATTTGTGTCCCTTTTATTCAGCTAAAGCAACCTGCCTGAGAATTAGAGTGGTTTCATTTTTTAAATCTATCTTGATCCTACTGTGCTCTCTGGGAAGTTATCCCTCCTTGTCAGGAGCAGCCTTGCTGGGCCATCAGACCCCTAAGGGTGGTCTTCTGCAGGCTGATCAGGACTGCCTGAGGGGAGAAGGAAGCTGGGAACGACAAATACTCAGGACACTCAAAATGGGTTCACAGTCCCCTGGAGTAAACGATGCTACAGAAAGGAAGCCTCACCAAGCTTCAAATTTCCTATGCATGGGCCCCTCATGGCTACATTTAGGACCTGAATATGGGAGGATGGTTTGCCTAGCAAGAAGGCTGTAGATAACAAGCCTCCCTGAGCTTGGTGAGAAACTACTTTAGTCTTCATCTAATCCATTTGCCTCCCAAATACTGGCTAAGAGTGATGCAGACTTGGGTAAGGCTCTCAGGACCCATCCTGCTGCGTGAAAGGAAGCAGAGATGCTGACAGCCCTAGTAAGAGGCATCCCTTCTGGACTGAGGGGAAGGATCAAGCCTGAGCTTGGTGTGGGTGCCTGGGTTTCCCGGCACACTGGCCCACCAGTGGTAGTAGCCTGCAGCCAGCAACAGCCCTAGTGCTCTCCCCATAAAGGTTTCTGCCTGAGGGCAAGCGAGTCCTTGCTTTGTGCTGTGCAGCAACAATCTTTCCCAAATTACCACATGACAATTTTAAAATCACCTGCAAACCTAAATCCAGTGAATGCCTACAGACAACACACTTAACAGCTCAGAGAATGATTCAGAGGAAGCAATTTTCCACAGTGAAGATAATCATCTGGTAGTGTGAAAAGGCAAACACTCTTTTATTAGCATTGGAAACTCAAGGGAAATGTTGCTAAATCCATAAATGCAGCACTTGAGTAAATGCTCAAGAACAATATCCACAGCTGGAAGGAAGGACCTGTACAGATTCCAATTCCCCTCAGAGTCCTCTCACAGAATGTGCTCTCTTGGAGGGCAGGGAAAACTCAGCTCTGACCTCTTCTGTTTACCGAACAATCAGCTCCTCCAGTCCTGCCCTGAGCCCACACGGGGAATCCCAGAATTCAGAGATCCCATCCCTGGTCCTCTTGATGTACACACTTGGCCCAGGTGACCTCAACCTCATGCCTCAGGTCTTTATTCTGTGACACTAAAATTCATATTCTGGTGCTGACCTCTTTTGGGACTTCATAAGATCAACTGCCTCTCTGAACTCTCAGTTTGGAATCCTGAACAGGGACCTCAGACTAGAAATGGCTGAAACTAAGCTCTTGGTCATCAATCCTTTTCCAGTATCTTATTATTGCATAAGAAATCACCCCAGGGATTTCTGGGTGACTCAGTGGTTGAGTGTCTGCCTTGGGCTCAGGTCATGATCCCAGGGTCTTGGGATCAAGTCCCTCATCGGGCTCCCCACAGGAAGCCTGTTTCTTCCTCTATGTTTCTGCCTCTCTCTGTGTGTCTCTCATGAATAAATAAAAATAAAATCTTTATAAAGAAGAAAAAGAAATCACCCCAAAACCTAGTGGCCTAAATCAACAACAATCATCAATGTTGCTCACGAGTCTGCAATTTGGTGTGGCTCAACAGGGATGGCTCTGTGAGGTATACCAGCTGGGGAGCTCACTGTGGGGCCAGGGGTTCCACTCCCACAATGGCTCACTCACATAGCTAGCAAGTTTTACTCGCTGTCACCTGGAAGCATAGCTGGGGTACGGGTGGGGGTCCTTGGTTGCTCCCGGCATGGCTGCTCCACAGGCTGCGCTGGCTTTCTCAGCAGTGATTGAGTTCCTGGCGTGGGCAAAAGAGGTGCAAAATGCCAGTGTCTAGAGTCCTGGGCCCAGAAACTGGTAAAATGTTATTTCTTCCACACTGTGTTAGGCAAGCAGTCACAGAGCCCACATTTAAGGGGAGGGGGGAAAAGACCATCAACTTTACATGGAAGCAGTATTAAAGAGTTTGTGGACCTGTTTTACAATTGTCACATGTCCCAAGCCCTCTCTTCCTGTGGTCTCCTCCAGCCACCAGTTGCTCAGGCAACTAGGCCTCCTTGGTTACTGCTCCTCCCTTCCCTTCCATCCAGTCCTCATGCAAATTTTTGACTGCCCCAAAACAGATCCAGAAACTTTCTTCCCTTCTACAACCTTACCCCAGAAAACCTCATCTCCCACCTGGATGGCTGTTTGGTTGGTTACAATCATTGGCCAAAGCTCTCTGCTTCAGCCGAGAGAGCTTCATGCCTTTTCCAGAATCTATTCATACAGTAACCAGAACTATTTTTTAAAAACATATATCAGATCATCCCACTCCTCTGCCTAAACCTTCTGAAAGCTTTACAACATATTTAGAATGAAACTTGAAACTCTTATTCTGGATTCCAGAGCCTGACGTGCTCTGGCCCCTATCCAGTCCCTTGGCCTCATCTTGTCCCACTCCCTTCTCACTGGACGGTGACCACACACACACACACACACACACACACACACACACTGGCTCTGGCCTGCCAGCCTTTGCACTTGGCTTCCCTCTATCTAGAGTGCTCTTCCCCTTGACTGTTCCAAAGCCGGTTCCTTCTGGCCATTTTTAGTTTGCAATGTCATTTCCCCAGAGAGGCCATCCACAATCGATCATTCTAAAGTGGTGACGCAGTCATCTGTCACATTAACCTACTACGTATAACACTTAAAGCTAGCTGATGCTTTTTGTGGTGACTTATTGATTCCTCAGCTGTCTCCTCCCTCTAAAACATAAGTACCACGAGAGTAGGGACTCCATGTCTTGTCACTGTGCATCCCTAGGGCCTAGAACAGTGCCTGGCACAGAGCAGAGGTTCGATAAATATTTATTGATTTAGTAGGTAGTAACACTAGCTGCAGGCAGGCAGTCTTCCACAGCAGCTCTTGGGGTCATTAGCAGGGATAGAGAGGAAGGTTGGGGGGCCTCGGCTGCTTCTGCTTATCCCGGGAGCTCAGCACTGGTGTGGGCCTGCTCCTGGAGGGTGCCTCACAGAAACCACGTTTATGCGGCCTGATTCCACCCCCCAGTATATCTCCATCCCTAGCTTTCCTGTAACACCAGCCATACAGAACTACACGGTCATGAGCACAAAGTTAGCAATGTGCTTGGACAGGATGGCACAGTTCACTTACCTCACCTTCACATCAGGCAGGTCACTGACTCAGGTTGTATTGCATTTGAACTTTCATTTTATGATTAGACTCAGATATGTAGGCAAAGTTCTGATATGATAAATTCTAAGTGCTTATTTTGATTATTATTTTTTTAATGAAGATGTTTAAATTTTTGAAAAATTTGGAGATGAAGGGGGCACCTGGGTGGCTCAGTGGTTGCGCATCTGCCTTGGGCTCAGGTTGTCATCCCGGGGTCCTGGGATTGAGTCCTGCATCAGGCTCCCTGTGGGGAACCTGCTTCTCTCTCTGCCTATGTCTCTACCTCTCTTTCTGTGTGTCTCTCCTGAATAAATAAATATCTTTAAAAAAAAATTGGAGATGGGTATTCAGGACCTATCTAAATAAAGAAGAAAAGTTTGATTAGGGTTTTTTTTTTTCTTTTTAAATTAATGTTATGGATAGGTTAAAAAGAAACTGAGGTGAAAAGTGAGTTCAATAACAAAATAGCCTTTGTTTTCTTTAAAAATACTTGTTAGCCACCTTTTTAGTACTTTGGTATAGAGAGTTGTGTGTCCAGAGTCAGGGTGTCCCTAAAGTAATAAAATACTAGAGGTGTGTGCAGTCAGCCCATTCAGGGAAGTGGCAGCTTGTTTCATAGGAGTCTTTTTTATTCACTGTAATGAGATTTTTTGCCTGGAGATCAAAATTTTTTAAAATGAAATGATACTGAAAATTCCAAGTTCTGTGGGAGAAAGTGATTGTGAAGCCCCACTGTGCCAATCAAAAGCTGATTCTGAGCACCCAGAGACCAGGAGACCAGGATCTGCATAGCTGCTTCTGGAGGGCAGCGTGACGACGAAGGGAAGGAGCCCACCTGGCCTTGAGTGGTGCTGCTCACGTCCTCAGAGCCAAGTCAGTGTCTGACCCTGGAGAGTGGACGAGGAAGGCAGACGTGCCAGTCTGGCCTGCACCGGGTGCCCTTGGCCCTCTGACACCTATGGAGGCAAGCCCACAGGGAAGCAGGACCCTTGGCAGTACTGACTGAGGGCTTGTGAGTCAGTCCTTGTCATGAGGGTGATGATTCTCATCCACCAAGGAGATGGCATCTGCCCTGATCTCTCCAGGCCCCAGGGCAGCACCCAGCAGAGTGTCAGAAGCACAGCCGCAGGGGCTCAAGGCAGCAGGGTGCATTTGCTGCAGAGTCGAAGCTGGCAGCGAGGAAGGCCATCCCTAAAGCTACATTATTATGTACTTAGTTTTTATCTTTTTATTTCTAATTCTTTCCTCTTTAAGTACTTTTTTTTTTTTTTTTTTAAATGATCACTGCTTAGAACCCAAGTTCCTGGAATCAGACTTAGGTCACATAGGCTGGAGGAGGCTATGGGGCAATGGAATCCTCCCAGGTTTCCGGGGGCTCGCCCTCCGCACCTCCCTCCCTCCCTCCTTTCCAGCTCTGCCTGGTCACAGCCTGGGTACAGAGGGCTCCGTTGGGGCTGGGAGCTGGGCAGGAGGAAACTGAAATTTCAAGGCAGCCCCTTCTGTGGCCTCCATTCCACCGTGAGGAGGAGTGAGAACCAGGAAGGACAGGTGAGTCTCACCTGAGCTGACTAAAGTCCAGCTCAGCCAGCCCTTGACACATCCAAGACATCTGCCCCCAGCAGTGAGATGCAGTGGGACTCACCGCCGTTCTCAGTCCACGTCTACAATGCTGGGAAAGAAAAACCAAGTTCAATTTACCAAAATATCTGTATTATCTATAAAAGTTGAACTCTAGTGGGTCACTGCTCCCAGAGACAGCGATATCCAACCATGTTGGCCTCAGAGGCAGACGGCTGCGTCCCTGCAGCACTCGGGTGGAACATGGCACTAAGTGGCACGGGGGCGGGCTCATTTGTAAGGCCTCAAGAACCTGGACACTTTGGAACGGAGCAATCGGATGAAGGACCTTGGAAACATCTCCCGGGATTCCTGGGCTGTGTACTTGAAATAGTTCTGGGGGTGGGCCAGGACGTCAAACAGGGCCTTGATCAGCTTCTTATCCTAAAAAGAATAGAAGTTGTGGTACTGAGCCAAAATACTTCAACATTCCAACATTTGGCCAATGGAACTATAATGGATCCAGCCTTGAACTGTGTAGGTGGATTAGCCGAAAACCACTTTGTGAAAATTGTTTCCTCTGATTTTTATCTTTTCTCCAGTTATTTTCCCTAATTATCTACAAAAAACATGTATTACTTTCATAAAGGGAAAGCTGACATATAAACAACAGTTTTCTTTTTCTAAACCAGATGAGATGCAACACTGGAACCTGGGGAGTATTTATAGGGTTGGTGAAATGGCCAGTGTCTGATGATTACTTAAAAGTATCTAAAATTTGGTGAACTTTAGGCTCAAAGGATAAACAAGGAGCCAAAAGATCTTCAACTATTTGGAGAATCAATATGGAAACATAATTTGCCACTGGCGTGGATTTATGATCCAAGTTTCCTACTGTTCTTCCACACATTTCCAAATGTAAAAAGAATACAACTTCACTTGACAATACTGAAGATAGCCACCTGAAATTTTTTTTTTAATAAAGTATGGTAAAGACATAAACCTCAGCCCAGAGCAGGCCTGGTGTCTGACAGATGGCCATATGGAGCAAGAGGAAAACCTTCCTCTAGTGGTGCCAGGAGCTCCTTGGGTGATGGGTGACCATTACCTTGGCTGTGTGCTCACCTTTAGTATTTCCTGATGGTTCTCAGATGCATAGAGCCTGCCATCTCGAACTATGTCTTCAATGAGTTCCTGGTAATCCTCTGTTGGAATAAAGGACATAATAGACATTCAGAGGGTTTCATTATTTCCAAACTCACTCTTTCTTTCATTTTGAAATAAGGTTCTGAGAAATGCCCCTTCTGCAGCTGTTCTCAGAACAATGACCACTGTGATACCGAGGAGGCTATCAGAAGAGAACTTGCACAGACTCCCACCACCACATCCTCTCACCTACCGGCCTCTGCACCCATCTCTTCTGTTTCATATTTCCTCAGATGAACCCTCTGTGCATTTGGTCAAGGCCCTTCCTCTACTTAGTCCACTGGCTCCATCTTCTCTCACCAAGGCAAGGGCATCGTTCCAGTAATTCTGCCCTTTCTTTGTGACATGATGACACTTTCTTGCCCTCTTGGGCCTTCCCATCAGCATGTAAACATGCTATTATGTCTCCGATCCAAAAAGAGTCCCTCCCTTGACCTCATTTCTCCCTCCAGCTGCCATCCTACATTTCTGCCCCCTTTATTGAGAAACTACTCAAAAGAATTGTCAACACTCCCTGTCTCTGGTCATTCCTCCTTCTTGATCCACTTCCTCGCTCAGCTTCCAGGATATGACACTCTTTGGTTTTCCTCCTATCTCACTGGTTGCTTCGTCTGAGACTCCTTTGCTTTTCTTCCTCCTCTCCCTGACCTCTTACTGTAGGAGGGACCCAGGGCTCAGTGCTTGGTTCTCATTTCTTCTATCTATACTCACTCCCTGTGAGCTCATCCAGGCCTGTGGCTTTTTTCTCCTCTACTTTTCTCCCTTCTGTCCTCCTCCCTTTCTTCTCACTGCCCATGTATTGTGTAAAACAATCAAGCTTCTTACCCACCAGGCAAGACTCTTCTTTTTTTTGGTTGGGGGTGGGGTGGGGAGAATTTGGCTGGTTGGAGAGGGAAGAAAGCTATGTTCATTTTCTTATTAATAATTTTTGGTCCTGATGTACACATTAAATGCAGTGCACATCATGTAAGCTGTCTCCAAATCTAAATCCCCACCTTTCAGAGTCTAGTCTATTTCCTACAGTCATAATTCAAACCAAGCATATGCAAAACACAGTCTTTTCCAAATTCCAGGCTGAAAAGAATGCCTCTTTATATGCATATCATGTGCAACAAAACCAAACAAATCATAAGAACATCACTAGAATTGTGTGGGAAGAGTCCTCGAAAAAGTTTCTACTCAGTCAAGTGATGGTACAGGGAAATTCATTAGCTTTTTATTAACTGTCATATAGTTCTTATAATTACTAATTTAAAACATGTACATACAACCTCACTGGTACTCTATTCATGTGGTATCTTCCTTCTTATTCTTTTAGTTTAAGGAATATAAAATCTGAGTAAGGGTACTTATTGTTTATCTTGAATTCCTCTGCTGCAGAGTGTCTTCCTTACAACACTAGCTCCTTTGCATGATGGGTGTTCACCACTAAGAACACCAGTTGTTGTGCTGTGTTCTGGTGTAAGAGAGAACTAAAGAGCTGTTTGCTGCTACACCAAATGCTTTCACACTGCTGTCTTTGAAAACTATTCCCTCCACTATTAAGAACTGTTCTGTTTTGTCACTTGCTACAACTGTCATGAGAAAAGTGTAGTAGGTAAGAACTCAGGCCCTGGAGTGGTGGAGACCTCTGCAATGTTGTCCTCCTGTGACCTCAGGTCAGGTGTCTAAGTTAATCTTTAAGCCTGAGTGACCTTGTCTGTAGAATCAGCAAATTATCGTGTGTACTTCATGGGCAATTGTGAGGAATGTGCCATGTAAAGGCACTTAGCACATACCTGGTACTCAGTACACTTACTCAGTATATGTTAGGCATGACTACAACTCTCCCCATCATCCAGTGGTAAGTGAGCCAGTCTGTAGCAGCTTCACCTGCACCCTTTCTTTTTAAAAAAGATTTATTTGAGAGAGAGAGCGAGCAAGCATAAGAGGGGTGTAGGGAGGAGCAGAGGGAGAGGGAAACAGAATCCTCAAGCAGACTCCCCACTAAGCAAGGAGCTAAGCTTGATCCCAGGCCCCTGAGATCATGATCTGAGCCAAAATCAAGAGTCAGCTGCTTAACCAACTGAGCCCCCAGGCACCCTAGTACCTACCCGTTCTAAATGTGATTTCTATTCTTCCAAGCTTAGAAACCAGGTATCATACTTGTCTGAAATATATGTCTGTTTTTTAAAAAGATTGAAGGCAGCCCTGGTGGCTCAGCGGTTTAGCGCCGCCTTCAGCCCAGGGCATCATCCTGGAGACCCGGGATCGTGTCCCACATCGGGCTCCCTGCATGGAGCCTGCGTCTCCCTCTGCCTGTGTCTCTGCCTCTCTCTCTCTCTCTCTCTCTCTCTCTCTCTCTCTGTCTCTCATCAATAAATAAATAAAATATTTCAAAAAATAAATTAAAACAATAATAAATAAAGGTTGAATAAGCTCTGAGTAAAGACCTGAAAATTTTCTGTTTCATTAAAGCATCAATTTTCAATTATTTTCTTCTGTGACATGTGTAAGATACATTCTCAAGGACTTAACTTGAGTTATGTGTAATTTCCCTGGCTCAAGCTACAACTCTTTGAGAAAATGAAAAAAAAAATCAAGATGTTTTCTTGTGTTACAAAGGAAGAGTGAGGACAGTCAGCATAAAATGTGTGAGCTTAGTGATATTTATTCTGGAGTCTCCATGTCTTTTTTGGTTCCTTCACTGATTCCAGATAGGGGAAGTTGTTGGTTGTCTTCTCTCAGACAGTTGAGGTGCTCTGTCTCTCTCAGCAGAGCCAGGGGGGAGACATTGCTGTCCACCTAGTAGTCTGATCCTAAGAGTCCTTGCCTTGGAGCTTTGACATGGTTTCAGGCACAGAGATGATAATCCTGGCTTTTGTAACATGTGAGAAATAAACTATGTGAAACACTTTTACAAAATCCATAGAATATTTTCTTTCTAAAACATCTACTTTTGGCCCCTCTCTGCCTAAAAACCTTCTATGGTTCAATGGCTCCCTGTGAGATTAGGAACACTCTTCTGAGTCTGTTACTCAAGGCTCTTCACCACCAAACTCCACACACTTCTATTCTCATCTCTCACTGCTAAGCCCCAGGCACCCTACCCACTCACCCAATCAGGCTATAATCACCACCCATGTCAGGTACTCTATCATGTGGCCTATATCATTTTTTCTTCCTAATGTTTTTCTTTCCCATTATATATATCATGTTCTTTGAGGACCGAAATTTCTTGAGATTTTGCCATACCATGAAGGATTAACTGGTGCCTGTTCTTCTGTCCTCACACAGAGCTTTGTACCTGCCACATTACAGCATCTAGGAGTTGTGTCTCATGACTAACCATGTGGTCTCTAGCAGCTTGCCCAATACCTGGCACAGGAGATGCTCACTAAGTATTCGTTGGGATAGACAGATAAGATGAATTAATAAATTCGTGAATGAACAGATGACTTGTCCCCCCACTGGATAATGAGGTCTTCCAGGACAAGGTCCAGTTCATTTTGTATTCCAAGTCAATGTTTGTCAACAGAGTCCCATCACTGGGACTTAGGGACCATCACTCACATGGACCACCCCTTTACTTAACAAGAAGAAAATAAAACCAGAGAAGTCATCTGATTTTTCTAAAACCACACAGCAAACTATTAGCAGAGATAAGACCAGAGATTGAGTCTTTCTCCTCCCTCCTCAGGATTCCATATAATAAAAGCCACAATGATAATTAGCTAGCATTGACTGAGCATTTACTGTGTGCCAGGCACTGCACCAAGTCCTTTATGGACTATCCCATTTAACTCTCACATTAGCTCTAATGATTATCCTTATTTACACATTAAGAAAATGAGGCTTAGATGGTGAAGGCACTCTAGAAAACAGTATGGAAATTCCTGAAAAAATTAAAAATAGAGCTACCTTTTGACCCAGCAACTGCACTACTAGGTATTTACCCAGATACAAACGTAGAGATCCGGAGGGGCACCTGCACCCCAATGTTTATAGTAGCAATGTCCACAATAGCCAAAATATGGAAAGAGCCCAGATGTCCATCCACAGATGAATAGATAAAGAAGATATGGTGTATATATATATAATGGACTACTACTCAGGCATCAAAAAAAATGAAATCTTGCCATTTGCAATGACATGGATAGAACTAGAGGAATTTATTTCACTTATTGTACTAAGTACAATAAGTGAAATAAGTTAAAGAAAACTAAGTACAATTGTACTAAGTACAATAAGTGAAATAAGTTAAAGAAAAACAATGATACGATCTCACTCATATATGGAATTTAAGAAACAAAACAGGGATCCCTGGGTGGCGCAGCGGTTTGGCGCCTGCCTTTGGCCCAGGGCGTGATTCTGGAGACCCCGGATCGAATCCCACGTCGGGCTCCCGGTGCATGGAGCCTGCTTCTCCCTCTGCCTATGTCTCTGCCTCTTTCTCTCTCTCTGTGTGACTATCATAAAATAAATAAAAATTAAAAAAAAAAAAAGAAACAAAACAGAGGATCGTAGGGGAAGGGAGGAAAAAATAAGCAAGACAAAACCAGAAAGGGAGAAAAACTATAAGTGACTCCTAACTCTAGGAAACAAACTGAGGGTTGCTGGAGGGGTAGTAGATGGGCAGATGGGATAACTGGGTGATGGGCATTAAGGAGGGCACTTGATGTAATGAGCACTGGGTGTTATATGCAACTGATGAATCAATGAACTCTACCTCTGAAATTAATAATACAGTATATGTTAATTAATTGAATTAAAAATTTTTTTAAATGTAAAAAAAAAAAAAGGAAAGGAAATGAGGCTTAGAGATGGTGAATAACTTACACAATGTCACTGAAAAGATGAGGCCAGGGCTGGCCCATGTTCTCACCCACTAAGCTATGCTCATTTTTATTTATTTTCTGAAACATGTTTTCATCCCTGTAGCTAGTGTCCCCAGACGCCTGTTTAAAATTTGGCACTTGTGAGTCAGCAGTGTCCTTTCTCCTTATCCCACCTGCCTTTCTGAGCATGTGTGCTTGTCAGCAATCCACCAGCTGGCCCAGAAGTTGGTGTGATTGAAAGCAAAGAAGCTCCTTGGGTGTGGTGCGGCCTGAGCTTCACAGTGCTTACCATCATAAGTCACATAAGGGACCTGGAAGCCTCTGGCACTGTTCCCTTCATTGGACTTAAACTGAATCCACAGCTTCTTTGATCTGGAGGTGAAGGCGATGGGGCGTTCGTAGGTCTGGCAGGTTTCATATGTTGTCACAGAATTAGATGAAGCTGCCAAGGGAAGGTGGGGGGGAGGTGGTCTTCAAGACTCATCCTGAGCAGCCAAACAATAACACTCATTTTTTCAAATGCGCCATAAAACAAGTCATGATCAAGAGCTCCTCAGGCCCAGTTTTGTCACCATAGGGGGCCAAAGTCCTGGAAACTGAGTAGACTCAGCTCGTGACTGGATTCCCTCAGAGAATTGAAAGGCCCAGGGCTAGGCAAACAGCAGCAGCCTAGGCCCCAGTGCCCACTGCAGGAGCTGAGGAGAGGCCTCCAAGTCCAGAGGCCAGCAATAATCATCACAGATCCCCGTTTCTTCTGACCAGGCAGGGCAGGGCAGGGCATACTTTATGGACTTTACCTCATTACCCCTCCGAAAACCATAGGAAGTTGGTGCAGTTGTTAACTCATTTACAGAGGTTGTGTCACAAAGTCAGTATGTGGATAAGTCAGGATTCAAACCTATACTTGACTTGAGACACTGTAACCACTAATAAGAGGGGCAAACACATGGTGGCTCCATGTGTCATTATTCTAAGTGCTTTATGAATATGAACTCATTTATTCCTCATGATGACTCTATGAGGTAAGAACTATACTATCCCCATTTTAACAAAAAAGGAAACTAAGTCACAGACAAATCCAGAATGTATGGTTCACAGAACCAACAAGAGGTGAAACTGGGTTCAGATCTAAGCAATCTGGCTGCTGGGCCCAGTCACTATACTGCCTTGAAGTTGTGTTGATGGTAGTGTCTCTCAATGGACACTGGGTCATATGCCAAGATGGGAGGGGGGGGTCCCTCCTGGCTGGACTATGACCTTTACCTTAGTCAGTCCCCAAGCCACAAGTGGCTTCCCATGGTGAAGCAAGTGTGTGGGGCCAGCCCTCTATGAGCTTCATTGGCTCTATGATGTTGTAGAAGAGAGTCCCCAGTGAGCCTAGAGGGGAAGACTGACCTGCAGAATCACTACCTCTGGGGTTCACCAAGAGGCCTCAAGGTGGGCTTTTGTCTAAATTTTGTTTCTTGGCAAATGCTATAAACTTATGTCCCATCTCTGTTCTAATATAGAGGGGACACCCTAGGTGTGCTGCTCACACTTAAAGCTGGGGAGCATGCCAGCAGGCTTCTCCACTAGCCTTAGAAAGGGAGGGGGACAGAGGGAGGGGACGCACAGGTTTTCCGCATCACCAGGTAGTCTCCACAGTCATCTTCTATGGGCAGGAAGATCTCAGGGACCACGATCAAGATTCGGCGCTTGGGTGGTGGGTTGATGGTCCATGTACACTCGGTGTTGGCTGGGTAATTGCCTGGGTAGTTTGGGGATTCAATGTACCCAGTAAAATCTCCCAGCTCTCCTCCACATCTTCTGTCTGGAAAGGGAAATTCCATGAGTTATGAAGGCACAACACTGTTGTCACTGTGTCATGACGATGGGCAGCTCAGTTGATGAAAACTGCTGCAGCCCTATTGCCATCAAGGCATGAGGTATGCAGATGGCACCATCCCAGGAATTAGTGTGCCCTGTGCCCTGTAAAGTCTATCCCTTCCCCTCTCCGTGGGAGCCCAACTACACTAACTCCCCACACAGAGCTCACCATACTGAGTTCCCCTCTGAGTTACCATTTTCTCACTAACTTGAAGGTGATCTTGAGCAGGCATTTGTGAAACAAAGGACAACTTTAGTATTCAATATTTTGTTTACAAAGTCTAAGTGCAAGGGGAACCCATGACACAGAACTTCTAGGTCTGTCAAAATAGGAATAATAGAGCTTACTGCTAATTAGAGGATATTTGACCTTTTCCTAGAGACCTTATATGAATTCATGATATCCATAGTCTTTCTCTTTTCTTTCTAGTCAAGAGCACATTTTATTTTTGGTGTGGAAGAGAATTCCAATTAGGTATCAGCCAATATGGGGCATGCTGGATATTCACCTCTGGCATCAAGGGCAAGGAGTATCACACACACACACAACCAGTTTAGGCATATCTTCATTCATTGAATCTCCATTCATCTAACAAATGTTAGCAAAAGCTCTGGGGGTTCAGAAATGAGAAAGACACAGTCCTTGCCCTCAAGGGAGGGGCTTACTGTTTAAAACTGTCAGGTGAATGTGTGCAAGAGGGGATGTTGAAGAGACTTTTTCCTCTTTAATTATAACTGGGAATTATTATTTCCATTAGAAAAAAATAAAGAGGCTTTTCTTCTTGGAAGGGGGTCGAGTGGGGAGAGCCATGGAGTTGAGAAAACTGCCTTCAAGCCTGAAGGGCTACCTGAGGATCTGTGCCATGTGGTTCCTAAGGGCCAACCAAAGGCCAGGGATGGGGGGACAAAGAAACAGACTCCATCTGGGTATAGGGAAGAATTTTATAACACTGTGAACCTCAATCTCAAATTCCTCCAGTTTGGGGAGATCTCCTTGCTCCCCTATACCTGCTGTCTTATTGATAATAGATCAGCAGAGATTTACTTCTGACCTTTACTGGAGAATTTTACATAGTGATTAAAAAGCAACCAACTGGCCCAAGCATGCAGCAAGTCTTTGAATGATTTGCTTTCCCATTCCTATAGAATACAAATTAAACTCCACTGTGTGGCATTCAAGGCTTCCCTTCCTGATCTGCCTCAGATTCTCCTGAGACATTCCATGATCCAGGTCCAGGGGTCTCTTCTCTTCTTTCACTCTTCTGAGTCTGTACTTCCTCACAGTTGTTGTCTTGGGTATAAAGCTCTTTCTCCCAATCCCCCCCTTTCTCTCCATCAAAACCTTCCTGTGCCCTCCAGAAGCCTTTCCTCATCTCACTAGACAGAATGAATTGCCCTCTCCTCTGCAATCCTACAGCCTGTGCTGCCTGCAGGGCCAGGGACTTCTGCTTGCCATGTCTAGAATGTAACAGGTCCTCAAACAGTGTTTGCTGAACTGAAATTCTGCAGCTCAGAGGAAATGTCAGCAAGTATATCCTGTCGAGATGCCTGGAGGAGTAGCCAGGATCAGCACAGGGGAATACCTGGGAGTCAAGTATGGCTCTCCTTCAGCACCAACCTGCAGCACTCGGAGCTGGGTAATAGCTTCCTCATGGTTCTCAATGGGCCTGGGACACCTGCCCCAACCTCCCTGCCCCAGGTGGACCCAGGCACTTTCCTCTGGGTCAAGACTGTGAAAGCCTTAGAGAGACCCACCTTTACACTGGGTTATGTTTGTGGAGCCATCAAAGTCAGTGGTAGTATTTCCTGGGCAAGAAACACAGTTATTTTTTCCAAATTCAGGCTGATATGTTCCTGCTGGGCAACGGATACATCGGTGAGTGGTGGTGTTGTAGAAATGTCCAGGTGAACATTGAACTGTGGGGTGGGGATGGGGGGAAGAATGAAGCAAAAAAACAAAGCAAAACTATATTTATCAGTCACATAAAAGTTTTCACAGTCCGTGCTATAAATTTGTATGCCCAAACAAAGTACTGCTTTCCTACTTATCTGGGGCTAATCAACACTTAATTCCCTAAATAGCCAGCTTGGGTGGGACTTATGACTCATGACACTGAGAAAAATACAAAGGGAACAAAGTATGGGTGTAGCTTCAAAGAGTTTACAGCACGTGCAGAGTCTGGCATAGATGAGCTTAGCTGAGTTTTCATGCAGGGAGCACTTGTCAGCTCTGAGGATGTCAAACTGATGCCAGGCCCAGGGTTGGGGCCCTGGGAGAAGCGGCAGTCGAGCTCTGGGGACAGGTAGGACCTGTATGGGAGGGGAGCTCCAGGGAAGGGTGCTGGGATGGAGGAAGACTGAAAAGAAGGAGCCAAGAACCTCTCCTAGACTGGTCATCCCTGTTTGAAGGGGTCCAGGTGGTTGGGGGAGACCACGTCTAGAGAGTTCCCATGCTCCCTGCACATCCTGCAGGAGTGGTTGGAGCTGGGACCTGATCTCCCAGCCACTGGGACCACACAGGGCATCTCTGGACTGGGCTTGATCGGAGCTTGACCAGACTCCCATGGTTCTCAAAAGGGAAATTCAGTTCTGGAAAAAGGCAAGCTGCCAAGTCCTCACCTCTGGTCTCACAGTCCTGGAAGGAAGTGGCTCCCAGGTGTTTGGTGGGGAGCCCTCCTCCACAGGGGAAGCAGGAAGTACGGCCAGCCTCAGGCTGGAATGTGCCCAGGGCGCAGAGCTGGCAGGGTGCAAAACCATCTGCAGAATATTCACCAGGTTGGCAAAGACCTGGGGAAACCAATGACCCTAAGTGAGCAAGGTCCCCTGTGTCCCTTGGGTGGACACTTTCCCATCTCTCTGTAGATGAGCTCAGAATTTGGTCAGACCTGTCACCCTGTGCTGATCTGAGCTCCCACCTCAGTGAGAAAAGCCCTGCCCTGCCCTGCCCTGCCACTGACCCTGAGAAGGTGGGATGTGAGCGCCTGATGTTTACACACAGGGCTACAGAGCACAGTGCAAAGACAGAGACCAAGGAGCCAAGGGTCAACTGCTTCCAAAGAATGGACCATGCCTGAGTTTGCTTAAGGTTTAGGACTACACAGTGTGCAGCCAGCACCCTCCCCAGGGAGGGTTCTCTGCTCTGGAATCAATTCAACCCAGAAGTATACCCTCACCCAGCTGATTACATCCTAGTGATATAAAGACTCTTCTGGTCATGAAAGAGTCTCCCTGTTTTATCAATTAGGTTTACTAAGTCACTAAAGTGTGTCCTGTCCTCCTTCTACTAAATCCAACCAATCTAATCCATATTGATAGAGGGACCCAGTGGCATTTACTTTAAACACCCTACTTGATCATTTTTTAAATTTATGACAAGAAGCACAGCCATAAACAAAAAGATTTATAAGAGCACATGATTCTTAGGAATTAGCTTGTCACTGCCAAGATGTTATGAAAAGCTGTGTCTCTTGTACTGCTGATCATCTCTCCCCTATTAAATTTCATGGTCTTCTTATTAGCCATAGGTTATAGATATAATGGCATTTAGTAAACACACATTCAAAGGAAGAGTCTGGAGTCTGTCAGACCTATGTTCTGATTCAAATCCTCCACTCTTTGGCTGTATGACCTTCAACCATTCACTTTAACCTCACAAAGTTGTTGCAGTGATACAACAACGATAATAATAATTCATGTAATACACCTTGCATGATGCCTGGCATAGGTTAAGTATTTAATAAGTGTTAGCAATTGCTATTATTACTAGTATTATTCTTACTATAAAGATATCTTAATAAGGTCACATAATGTAAACAGATGTCCCAAAGTGCCTCCTTATCAACCCTGTAGTTGGTTTGAGGGGAGGAGAGGGGCAGAGGCTGAGGGAGAGAGAAAATCTCAAGCAGACTTCCTGCTGAGTGTGGAGCCCTCCGTGGGGTTCCATCTCACGACCCTGAGGTCATGGCCTGAGCCAAAATCAAGAGTTGGATGTAACTGACTGAGCCACCCAGGCACCCTATGACTTTAACCTTTTGAAAGGTTCTGTAGTTGAGTCTGGAGTCATTTAGGTGGGGGCTAAAGCTGGCTCTGGAGGTCACTGGGAGGAGAGATGGGAGCCACAGGACATCATCCCATGCTCTTCACCACGGACATCACCTACAAACTGCAGTGTTAGATCACACCTTCTATTTGAACTCACAGAGCATCAATTTGGCCCTTCTTCCATCTAATAAAAGGAAGACATTTACTAATAAAATAAATAGGAAACAAGCCCACAAAACCCAAGTAAGCTTGGCTCCAGAGTTAACATTTTATAAGGGACATTAAAAACTCTTCCCAGAGTTCTGACAAAACAACCAGATGGATACTCTTTAAAAATCAATAAGGTAAAAAAAAAAAATCAATAAGGTATGAATTTGAGACCAAAGCTAGAAAAAGAATTAGAACTACTTTCTCCAACTTAACACTTTCAGACCATCCCCATACACTGGGAGATCAATAAGGTCTCAAGGTATATTTATTTACAGTGAGTAAAGCATGCAACAGCAACCTTTCCACCTTTTCTTCTGCCAATGTATTCTATCAGCTTTTCATTTATTTATTCAAGTGAGCATCAGCCCAGCATGTGTTGGGCACTGAGGCAGGCACTGAAGCCAAAGACGAAGCCATATAATATGGTCCCTGCCTGTAGGAAGCCCAAGGGTGCAGTATGTGCTATTTGCACTGAAACGCTACTTATGCCTTCTGTCTAGGTAATATTGGAGACCAGAGGAATAAGAAGAGGAAGATGGAACACTTACCTCCACATTCCGATACATTCCAAGCTTCTGGAGTCTTCAGGGCTCCAGGATTTTCTGATCTTGGGCAAGGTTCGCATGTGATTTGTCCTTCCTCATTTTGGAAGGTTCCATTTGTACACAAAATGCAGCGTTCTTGCACTCCATCATAATATGTCCCAGCCCTGCAACTGACTAGCCAAAGGGGGAAATGATCTGGTCAGTGAGGGGACAGAAGCCAAGGAAGGATGATATGAGTGATAGGTGCAAATAGATGGCATTGACCCCACACTCCTCCACACAAACTCCCTGAATACAGAATGTGTACCTCCTTTGGGTTTTCTGTGTACACCCCTTGCCATGTTGCCCACCGTTAGAGGTGTTCATGGGTTCTCTCTCCCTAGACCACGAGCTCCTTAGAAGCAGGGATCACAGTGGTCCTAATTATTTTTGAGCACAAGCACTTGATGACTTCTCCTATTTCATAGGACTGTCGGAGGGGTTATAAATTGAAAATCATTCATTGAACATACTCCCAGTGCTGAAAGAACAGAGAAGAGGGTGATATTAATTCTGGCTGATGGCATCCCTAAAGGCTTCCTAGAGGAGGCCACGTTTGTGTGGACCCTTAAAGGATGAATAGGATCTCCCCAAGAAGGAAAGGGGGCAGGTCATAAAAGGTCACGTACAACATACAGGAGAAGAGGGAAGAAAGGAAGGTTAGGATAGACTTTAGAAATTCTTGAATGCTAGGCATTTGGGTTTTATTCTTCAGGTTGAGGAGCCATTAAAAGAGAGGAATATGACCAGAGCTGGGTTCTGAAAAGCTCACCCTCTGGTGGCTGTAGGAAGGGTAATCTCAAGAGTCTTACCAATAAGCTCTCCAACACAACATGCTTTGTGTTTGTAATAAAGTTCATGTGTTATGAAAAGTAAACCATGGTAAATGTCTCCTGAAAGAATGAACTACAAGGAAATTAATAAACAATGCTTCTGGCTATATTTCTGGTGTTGTTAGTTAAATGTAGATTTATATCTTGTTTTAGAATATGAATATAAAGTAAATGTGCTTAAGTGGGTTCTCAGTATCATATTCAGACATCAACATAACCATCAAAATAGCCTTTCTAATGGCTAACATTTGCTGAATACTTCCAATCTCCTGTTCATCATGCCAAAAGCTTTTCATACCTTATCTCATTTGTCCCTGAAAACAACCCTAAGGAGTTAGGTGCTATTATTGACTCCATTTTACAGAAACAGACTTAAGGATATTAAATAATTTGGCCAAGGTCCCACAGCTAGTCTGTGAAATACACCTACAGTGAGATTAAGAGCTTTGAATTTAAGAGGGAGAAAGGGCTCTTGCAAAAGTGCAGACTGAATCTTAATTCAAGACTGCTGAGGATTCTCTACGTGATGTTAGAGGAGTCTGACTGGAATAAACACATTCTCTTTCATACTTAAGCTGCTGAGAAATAGAAAACAAAATATCACATGATAATATTAGCTATTATATCTCTTCAATGTCTGTGAGGGGGAATACCCCGTTTTCATGCTTTCCTACAAATGCAATCTGCATATATACTTTTTTAAAGATTTTATTTATTTATTCATGAGAGACACAGAGAGAGAGGCAGAGACACAGGCAGAGGGAGAAGCAGGCTCCATGCAGGGAGTCTGATGTGGGACTGGATCCCAGGTCTCCAGGATCACACCCTGGGCCGAAGGCGTCGCTAAACCACTGAGCCACCCGGGCTGCCCTGCATATATACTTTTAGAGTTAAACATGACAAAGTCCTCTATTACCATTAATAAAAATGTCTTTTTATTATTCACTTTATAATCTGAAAAAAACCGAAACAAGGTTTTTTTCTAAATCATAGGCCAAAATATGCTACATTTCAAATATTAGGTCTACAATTAAATTCAATCAAAAGTCTACTCTAAAATCTAAATTTTAATACTTTTTAATACTGTTTGGATTGTCTTTTATAATATTTGTGTGTCATTTTAATTTAATTTTATCATATTTTAAAAAAATTAAAAGGGAACCAAACTCTTGCTTTCTCAACAAACAGCATTCTAATGGGCCCAATGCATAGAGCTGTGGCAGACAAAGTCTGATTCCAGACCTAGTCTCTAAACACAGCCCCACTTGATAGTGGTTTCTTTGATGACTCTGGTTTCAGCTAATCTCCCATGAGAAGCTGGGCTGAACTATGTACTAGGAATTCATGACTTTTTATCCTGTGTCCCACCTTACTGTCTGAAGGCTAGCAGAAGGCCAGCAGGCAGAGAATAACTTCTTCGTGGCTCTAAGGAGTCAGATGTTGTGAAGGCTGGTAGAAAGTAAATAAAACCAAGGCCATCTGGAGCCCCTCTAGCCAAGCCATTTCCATTTTTGTAACATTCATTCCGCTAATGGGAAAGTGCCAGATGATGGCAATGATTTCAAAGCCACCTTAATCATAACTTAGAGTCAGATCAGCATGGTCTGTTCTGCTGTAGTTCCTCTGGCAGAAAATGGATCCCTTCATGGGTGCATGAGAATGGCTCTGGTTCTCGTTGGAAAATATAACAGGATGGGCTCCTGCTGCTCTGGGTGTCCACTCGTCCTTAGAACTATTTAAATCCCCCAAAGCCTTTTTGAGGTTACATTTTGAGAAGCCTCACAATGTCCCACAGCTGTTGCAATTTCCCAACTGAGCAAAGGGCTGAGAAATGCCCCTTGTCACTGCAGAAAGGAGGGCACCGGTCTTTTTTCTCCCAGTGAAAGGCCTGCTTCACATAAACAAACTCATAGTGTCACTCACAGTTTCCATTTTCCTTACAGAAAGACCTACAGAAATAATTCCTGCCAAGCACCTTCCAAATTAATTTCTTTCACAAGGTAAAAATGAGCTAAACAGCAAAGAGTGATTCTGAATGTCATGAAGAGATGCCTGAAAACCACTTTTTTGCAAATGGGCTGAAGATTTGGTCTGAAGAGACCTCAATTGCATGTTCCAGTTGGTTCTCTTTTCTCCTCGAGCAGCCAGCATGTTTTGCTGCCCCAGACAAAGGAGTCAATTGCCCCCAGAACACTTCAGGATCACAGCAGAGCTTTTGTATGTCTTCAGTGACCATTAAAATCCCATTCTCAAATCCCACACAGCTGTTTTCTCCCTCTCTTAAGAAAAAAAAAAAAATACAAGAAAGCTTTTCTGATGCAAAAGGGAGAGACCAGCAGGGACAAGGATTAATGGCAACAAAGAGACCTGAAGGCTCACCCTCTTTTCAACAAGATGGCCTTTGAGTATTTCAGGCTATGGACAAACACTATGGTCTCTCTGTGGCGAAGATGGTGAACCTAATAAAAGAGGTCATTCTCTAGGGTCTGTTTTCTTAAGAGTCACGCTTTGACTTCTGAAGGAAAGCCACAAGCAGCCCACGCAGATTCCCAGGGTGTTCTGGAGCTGCTGCTTTGTCACAGCTCAGAGGCTAAGACAACACCGTGGCCTTGGGATCCCAGTTTGAAACCCTGTTAAATGGGTGTTTCAGGATAACAGGAGAGAGCACCCCCTTAGCTCAGAGGTTGAGCTGTCACACTGTCCAGGTTTTTGGTGTGTGTTCTTAGGGTTGGGGCGGAGAGCTGAGTCCAGCTGACGCCTTCCTGGCTGGGTTCCCCAATGCATGCTATGCTCTCTTCATGCTTAGTTAATGGGGGAGGCAGGGAGAGACGTCATTTCCTTTAAAGTGCCTCTTTTGCCTTCAATTGCAATATTTCCCCAAAGATTTGCCCCTTACCCTCTTTTCTCTTAATGTTGGTGGCTATCTTTAGGATTTCACCTGTTGTCCCTGGAAAATACATTAGTTCAGTAAAATACTTAGCACTGATTATGTGTTGAGTTCTGTTCTAAATGGAGCTGGAGCTATAGCACACAAGACAGACATGGCCCTGCCCTAGGGGACTCTCATTCTGGAGAATATGCACAATAAATGGGTAAGTAAATAAATATATAGCAGAATGCTACCTAGAGGTAAATATGATAAAGAAAAGTGAAACAGGGTAAGAAGGGAATACAAAGAGTGGTGGGAGTGGAGTTTGTGTGTATATAGTCTCAGAAGAGTAGCCAGGCTTTCCTCTCTGAGCTGAGATCAGACTGAAATGAACAAACTGGCCTTGCAATGGCATTGCCTAAGAGCAAAAGGAAAAAAAAAAAAAAAAAAAGCCAATGCAATAGGAACAGAGTAAAAGAGCCAGGGTAACAGGAAAGGAATCCTAAAAAGCAAACAAGAGCTAGATGATGCAGGTTCTTGAAGGTCATGGTAAGGAAATTAGACCTTACTCAAAGCATGTTGGAGGATTTGCATAGAGGAATGGCATGATCTGACTTATGTTTCTAATAGATATTCTGGCTGCTATGTGGAGACCACGAGGCAGGCAAGGACTGAAAAACAATTCAGACCCGTCACAACAGACTGGGCCCAGGATGCTGGTGGTTTGGAATAGAGTGGTAATGATGAAGGAAGACATAACTACTTAGAGTAAGAACATAATGTGAAGGTAGAATTTGCTAACGAACTGGATGAGGAGCATGACAGAATGACAGGGGTCAAGAAAATGTGAGATTTTCAATTTGAACAATGAAGTAAATAGAGGTGCCATTTACTGAGATGAGGGACAAGCAGGTTTTACTTAGGAGGGAGGGAGGGAGGCAGATAGACACACTGAGTTTAAGACGCATGTTGGCCACACAAGTGTCGATATTGAAAAGGCATTGGTTTTACTGGTGGTTTGCAAGGTAGAATGCGACACCGCAGGGCTTTATGAAATGATCCACTGGGTGTGGGCAAAGCATCTTCACATCTATGCCTATTAACTTTTACCTAAAAATGAGAAACAAAGAAAGGGTTACTGGTTCAGTGTATGGTCTAAGATTGGTGCCTCAGTCTGTCTGCATCTCCATGAGTCGTAGACACACATGAAGACACAAGGTCTCCAAGAAAAGAGAAGAACATGGCATTCCACAACTCTATGGGTTGGGAAAGTACTGACTGCTTTGCTTCTTTCAATGCATTAAGAATTGCAGTTTGCAATCCAAACTAGAAGTCCTAACGACGAGGGTTAACGAGGTGGAAGAACGAGTGAGTGACATAGAAGACAAGTTAATGGCAAAGAGGGAAACTGAGGAAAAAAGAGACAAACAATT